GTGAGTTGCTGTGGATTTGTTTCTCCAAAGTACCTAGACTAATACAGTACTAAACATAGCATTAAATCAGATCAGAAGCACTCCATAGCATAGCTTTCTCTGAAAACCCTTCAAAATCTTAGTACTCTATTCCAGGATCATTCCAGTTTAGTTGAAGGTCATTTGAGAAAGTGATTGCATACTTTAAAGCAGGGAGGATTACCTGAAAAATGTTTACCTGTGTTTTAATCAAAAACTTGAATATGATGTCTTGTATATTTAGAATAATACATTTACTTATGAAATAGAAGAACGCAAATTAGAGATTAATGTCCATCACATTATTGTTTTGCTCTTATAAATGAATATATATTTATTTATATAAATGAATATATATTTAATTTTATTTATATAAATGACTATATATTTAATATATATTAAATACATATATATTAAATCTCGGGATGGAAGGCTTTACTTTTTGTGGTGGTGGCAGGGGAGTGGAGGGCAGGAAGTTCAACTGATTGGTGGACCTAGGGGACGCTCCCAAGAGCTTCAGGAACTCAGAGCCAGCCGTTTGTCCAAGGGGTCAAGACTGGGGATATCATTGACTCCACCACCGTCTCAGATGAGGTGCTTCTCAGCCACCATGTCCTCAAACTCATCCGCGTTGAACTTGGTGAAGCCCCACTTCTTGGAGAGGTGGATCTTCTGGCACCCAGCACACGAGAACTTGGCCCTGTGTAAGGCCTCAATCACACGCTCCTTGTTTTCATGCTTGGTGCGGATGGACACGGTGACCTGGCCGATGCAGACTTCAGCCACCATGCCTTGGGGTTTCCCCAAACACCTGGCATTCCAGTGTGGAGGCTAGGTTAGGGACAGCAGAAATTGGCCAAATCAGAGCCATCAAAGAGCAGCAAAGGGTTGTCTCCACGGTCCCTTAGGGCAGCCTGTACATGCCATCAGGCTGCGTACACTACTGAGGAGGCTGCTCTTTGCAGCCATTGCACATTGGCCATCACAGGAATGAGGACAGTCGGCTTAATGGGCTGCAGATAAATGAATATATTTTTTAGAAAAGATTAGTGTTGCTTTCTATATATGTTGGCAACAATGATTTATATTCTTACTGCCTCTGCTGGCAGGCTGAGTTGAATAGTTTTGGGTTTTTTCAGTGTAATCTCGGATTCCACATAACCATAATTTTTAAATTTCGTTGAGTTTAAATCAAAACCATAGGATGCTAGACGATTGCAGAAATGTCAACCTTTTTTCCTATTTTAAACAAAGTGTGTGGTTTTTTTGTTGTATCTACATAAAAAATGGTTGTATCTCACATCAAGAGTGATTTGCTAATTCTGTGTGAATAAGTTAATTATGTAATTAATATATTGTTAGAAGAAGCATTGCTACAAAATAAAGTCTCATTCCCTCCATCTTTGTGTGTCTTGCTTTCTTCCACACAAGATTACATTGATCAGATTCATTTAAATTAGAAAATAATAGACACTTATGAAGCCTGCAGGGACGTGAGACTAGAGAAACAGGTAGGGGAATAACAATACATTTCTTTTAAAAATATGTTATTATTTATAAATCAAACCCAAGCATTTGATACCCCTAATGTCTGTTTTAAGTTCCTAGAGCATCTATTACTCTGGAAATAAAAGTTATGTCTTTCTCATATTTATAAGAGCTTTCTGTTAAATTCAAAAGAAATATTTCAGTAGAGTGATGGGTCCTGAGCTGTTAAGATTACTTTAAATCAAATACAGGAATCATCCATTGGTGCAAATCGTTAAGTGTGCAGCATAGTGGAAAGATCGATGGTTCTGGCAGTTCAAATGCACCTGCAGATGCCTTGGAATAAAGGTCTGATGATCTACTTTTGACCAATTAGTCAGTGAAAGGAAACCTTACTGACATCAGTTCTACTTTGAAGCACATGACTTCACCAGGAGTCAGCATCAGCTTGACTGCAACATTTTGCAACTCCTCTTACCCCCAAGGAAGGAGTTCAGAGTAAAACCCCTTTCCCCCACCAACATCAAGAAGAATTTATGTATGGTTCAATATCTTGCTTGGATAATTACATATAGCTTCATGAGACATGTGCCTGCGGTCATCAGGATGGTTTTAAAATACGGTGTGGCTTTGTTTTTAAGACTGAGTTTGAGTGTTCTGGTTGCTTAATTGAGTACTTCATGAATGGTCAGCAACCAAGAGTCAACAATAATTTGCACTGTGACATATAGTCAGCTTCATTGTAGACTGATTCTGTGCCTTGAAATTCTTACAAGTTCATCTTCGGAAATAAGAGTTCTCAGAGACTGCCTCACTCACTTTGGAGAAGCAGAGCCTCTTAACATGATGTGGTGGATGTCATTTGTTTAAGTTATGGGGAATAAGATGTTAAGATAGTGCTACATCCACAAAAAAAAACACCACAACACAACAAAACGAGGAATGCTTTTGCTGTCAGATTGATTCGGGCTTATAACCAACCACACTTTACAGAATAGACCCTTCCCATAGGGAGTCCTTGTCTGTAACCTTTACAGAAATATATCACCAGGCTTGTCGTCCATGATGCCTCTGGGTGGCTTCAGACTATGGATCTGTTCATGGGTGGCCAGTGCAGCTAGTTTGTATCATCTGGACAACTAACAGGAGGGTGACTCCTGCTGTTGTATTAAGATCAGTGTCCTCTTTCAGAAACTCAAAACAAAGGCTGACTTGTAGTCCACCAAGGTTCTTTTGCTGCAGCAGCTTTGTTTGTTTTATTCTTAGATTCAAGATCATCCTTGACACAGGCACAAAGCCATGATGCCCATCCCCGACCCCCTACACACACACACGTTAGCAAAACGTATGTATGAGAAAAATTAAGATGACACCACATAATATTTAATGTATAGGTATGGATCAAAACTTACCAATCAATAGCTGGTTCCAAAGTATGTAGTACTTCCGCATATATTGCATCATGTTTTGATTTTAAGTTGACCACTGCCATTGAGTCGATACTGACTCCTAGTGTGCCCCTGTAGGTTTCAGAGATGGTGACTGATTATGGGTGTAGAAAGCCCAGCTTTTCACCCACAGAGCTGCTGGTGATTTTGCACTGCTGATCTGGGGGTTCCCAGCCAGTTACCTGGCTGCTTGCTGCAGGGATATGAAGTGGCACACAAGTACTTTCTTTGAAGTGTGTGGCTCTGACATTGAAAATACTTTCCTCAGTGTCAAAAGAAAATTACTATAAAGTTTCCTATTTTTGACACATATTACTGCACAATGGTGTCTAAAATCTACTTCTTTAAGGTTAAATTATCTGCTTTGATATATATTTCTTTTTTTCTTTTAAAAAAATCATTTTATTAGGGGCTCATACAACTCTTATCACAATCCATACACACATCAATTGTGTAAAGCACATTTGTACATTCATTGCCCTCATCATTCTCAAAACATTTGCTCTCCACTTAAACCCCCGGCATTAGGTTCTTATTTTCCCCTCCCTCCCCGCTCCCCCCTCCCTCATGAGCCCTTGATAGTTTATAAATTGTTATTTTGTCATATCTTGCCCTGCCCTACGTCTCCCTTCACCCACTTTTCTGTTGTCCGTCCCCCAGGGAGGAGGTCACATATAGTTCTATCACAAATTCTGTGCCTTAAACATATTTGTGATTTTTCCATGTTGAATATATATATATTTTTTATTACATTGCTACAAGACCAAAATTTTGAGGAAAATGCCTTTCTATTATTCATGAAGCTACATTAGTTTTAGCCCAAGTGATTGCTAAATTGTGGTGCTGTTCCCTTAATAAGAAAAGGTGAAAAAAAATACCTGACGTGTCTGAATGACTATAAGGCTCTAGCTGGTATGTCTCTATTGATAAGGAAGATGAAAGGGGAATGGTTTTTTATTTAAATTCAATAGACCTGTGGTGCTGAACAGTCTAGTTCCCAGAATTCAGTCTGTCACGAATCATTTTTGTATCAACTCATCTTATTTGGCTCCTGTGCCATAATCTCAAATGGCTTTAACGGTCTAACTGTTCATTTCCCTAGTGCTTTCCGTCTGCTATCAAATAATTTCCTATCTATCTAATGCTACATGGCCCCATGTTTTCTGCTTCAAAACTAACGGAAGAGATATGGTGTCTGTCCTGTAGGAGGTTACATAGATTTACACTTGATCTTGGCCTAGAGGCCGAGAAGTGGTGGTTATGTAGTTTTAGAAAGATGTGATGGATGCAGATTTGTTGACCTCCATGCATTTTGTGTAGACCTGCAGTGCTTCCTGAGTTTATTTCCACGTGCCCATACATAGATACATTGTCATTGAAGAGCACAGAATTGTGTGTGTGTGATGTCCATATAAAACCATGCACTCATAATGTAAACCATTCCTCTTGTTAGCTGCCATTGGGTCAGCTGCTGATACAAGGAGACTGAAAATGTTGCCTGGGCCTTTGCCGTCCCCAAATTGAATGCCTGTGACTTACAGGGTTTCTTCTAGCCTGTTTTCAGAAATAGACCACCAGATTTTTTGCTTTTTTCCCTCCTGTAGTCTGTCTCTGAGAAAACCTGCTGAGCATCAGGACCTCCTGCAAGCCTCCACGGAGAAACCAGTGGTGGGTGTGTATGACGGTAAGAAAGGAACTCCATGAATTTTACCGTTGGATCAGCATGCCTGCCTGTAGATGCATGTTTACTAAAACCGGAATCAGACCCACTGTTGTCCGGTCCATTCAGATTCATGGTCACCTCCTGTCTAACAGAGTAGGTTTGCTCCATAGGATTCCAATGGTTATCATGGAAGAAAATCACGAGGACTACTTTTCCATGGCGCCCCTAGGTGAGTTGGAATCACTGAACTTTAACTTGGTGGTTGAACGTAAGACACTTGTGCCATCCGTAGCTTTTATAGGGGAACTCATTTTGTTAGAAAACCTGGTTGAAACATTTTCACACGATCCCAACTGATTTCCAGCTGTAAACCTCATGCTTTACCTAACACACCACTCCCAATGAATCTGAAGCCGACAGGACAGAAAGACGTCCTTTTTGCTTCTGGGCACATTCTAACGTGAGCTTAATCAAAACGTTTGCATCTCAGAAAAAGCCACTTCTCTTCCATTCACAGCATGCAGACCTAACTCCCAAGGCACTAGGGACTGTACTAAGCTCGAAATAACAAGGGAAAAGCACAGGGGCCTCTCCTCTGAGGGGACAGAGGGGAATATGGGATTCTTATCTCCATGTCTTTGCGAATGGGCCAGACTCCAGAGCAAGCTGGGTTGTGGGTCATTTCTCATTTGGAATAAATCACCTCCATGACATTTGCACTTGAAGAGACAGGCGAGTGCGCTGCCCATATCTGCACAGTACATAATCTTATTGTACGTGGAGGCTGGCCTGGTCTCCACTTTCTCTGTGGTGGGTGTACCTATCCTTTTTCTAACCTTGATCTCCCTAGCTCCAGCTGCCAGACCAGGGCTGGCACCTTTCTCTACATGAATTAGTGTCTTAGCTGTCTACTGCTGTTAGATACCAGAAATGAGAGGTTTTAGGAAACATACATTTATATTCTCACTTTTCAAGAGGTTACCTAAATTTTATTGCTGCCCCTCCCCCCCAATGTGTCAAAGTGAGGAGGCCATGATTTGCAGTGCTTTGGTAGTTATGTGATGATGCTGTGTGTAAGTCATGTAATAATTCCCCAATATGTGACCCGATGGAATAAACCATATAAAGATTAAGGGTTGTCTGCAACATCCCATTGCAACTCTGATCCCAGGCAAAAAATGTTTCCCTCTGATGTTGCCTGAAACATCTTTTTTAAAATTGTGTTGTTCTTGTTAGGTGTCATCAGTCAGTTCTAATTCATAGCCCCCCCTGTATACCATGGAACAGACCACCATCTGTTCCTGCACCATCCTCACATTGTTCAGATGCCTGAGCCCATCGATACAGAGATGGTGCTAATCTTTCTTGTTAGGGACCTGGCTCCTTTTCATTGACCTTCAACTCTCGCAGGATGTCCTTT